TGAGGTATAACAAAAATTTATAATAAAATACTTTTAACAAAAACTCCATAAAAACAAACTTGTTAAAAAACATATCCTAGTATTAGTTAAAGTACTAAAGGTATAGTTAATTCAAATTCAATTGTTAAAGTCAATGTTCTTCGATACTAGAAATGTAGGTACGTAAAAGATATTTAACCATACAGACAAGATTCCTAACTGATGAATTAGCGGAAAACAATTACTCTGTAAGCTACATGTTCCAACTGGCATTGAATTACACCAGCAATACAATATCTAAATATAATTAATACAAAAATACATACCTGATATGTTGAAACTGTTTCATAAAGTAATCTTTCAAAGTAATATTTTATTATAAACATTGGTTTTATAATCTACACTATCAGATAAGTGAAAGTAAAGGCTTAGGCTCGCTCATAATTTTGACGTTTGTAGGTCATCGATATCCAGAGGACATTGCAATCGACACTATAACATCTGAAAAATTACACATTTATCTCTATTATCTATATAATAAGTTTAAGTAAGAAATTGCCTCTTTTTGTGGTCCTTTTTTTAGATCTGATCACTGCCCCAGGCCTCAAATGGTCTAACCTCCTAAAACTGTGGGCAATGCCAAGAATTAGACGAATCCTCTTGTCCATCTATAATATAGGGGCATTTAATAAATTTTCACTGTTTTCCAACAGTTGGCTTTACCAGAACTGCGTGCGTTGAGTTTAAAGATGGTAACGCACCTATAAACTATAAGTACTATAAGCAAGCTGGAAATTCAGTGTATGTCACTTTGCCAAAATGTAAACTACTTCATTTTCATAGTATTAAACATGTCAAATTTCATACCAAAAAAAGAGTATTTGCAGTGAATTTTACTGCACTACAACTGAAGTACAAATAATTCTTGTATAGACTTATGGCAACCATGCTCTGTCGAAAACAACATGCAGAGATTGGTTTAGATCAAGGGTCGGCAACTGGCGGACCACGGTCCAGATCCGGACCGCGGAAGGTAAAATAATGGACTCCCAAAAATTTTTTGAAAGTATAAATTACTCAAATTATTTTAAAAATAGTTTTTTATTGATAATAATACGTTTGACTGCCACTCTTATCATTTCTACTACAATTACGTGATTGATTTGAGTTCTTAATGGTTAATAGGTAGATTAAATTTGTGAGTGCAAATTAAAATAAAAAATTAGTAAGGAATGTGAGTTTTTTTGTGGACTTCGTTAAAAATTTTCAAAAGTATCCGGACCCCACCTAAAATTACTTGCCGACCCCTGGTTTAGATGCTATAAAAATAATAATTTTGATGTTTATGAAGATAAAGAACACTGATGCTCCGAAACGGCTTGACGATGAAGGATTGAAGGCAACACTTCATGTAGGCTCATATCAGACTCACTAGCTGAACTTGCAGAATTATTAGGAGTTGATAACACAGTAGTTTTGAAACATTTGTAAACATTAAGAATGATTCAAAAGCAAGGACATTATTAGGTGCCGTTAGAGATGAAGCCGAGAGACATCGAATGATGTCATTTCACTTGTGAACAGCTGCTTCAACAGCAAAAAAAGAAAGGATTTTTTGCAACGTATCACGACTCGCGATGAAAAGTGGACACAGACTTTGGCAGCGCATTAACATTGCTGGCTAAGCTGAATATCAATGGTTCTAAGTTTCTGCTAATTCTGCATTTGGTGGGATCAGTTAGGTGTAGTTTATTATGAGCTGCTCAAACTGAACAAAACTACCACTGCTATCGACTACAATGGATGCTTCTAAGCCGAGCATTGAAGGAAAAACGGCCGCTATACGAACAGAGACAAGACAAAATGATTTTGCTGCAAGACAGTGCTCGGCCACATGTTGCAAAACCAGTGAAAACCTACTTGGAAATGCTTAAATGGGAAGTCACCAGTCATGTCCCCCTTCCGATTATTACCTGTTCCGATTGATGGCACATATCCTAGTTGAGCACCACTTCCATTCTTTTCAAGATGCCAAAAAATACGTCGACTCTTGTATAGCCTCAAAAGACATGTCCTTTTTCCAACGTGGAATTAAACAGCTACCAAAAACATGGAAAATAGTGACTGACGATGAATAGTACTTTCAGTAACAAAGAAATTTTACAATTTTTTTTAAATAAAACATTAATTTTTATGTAAAAGCGATAACTCATTCAAACATCTCAATAAATATCACATTAACCTAATCATATTCAACACCTTTTACACTTGTTATTTCAAAATGGAAATTTTTCTAAAAATTAGTTTTTTTATATATCGAGTTACTACAAAAACATGCTATCTCAAATTCAGCTTGCTATCTAAAATTGTACTTGGAAAACATGCTACCTCAAATTAAGTTTGGAAAACATGTTAACTCAAATCTTTAAGTAAAAACATGCTTTCTCACACAAAAGTAAGTTTGACTAGAAATTGGCGTTGAAATGCACATTGAATGATTGAAACCATGCACTTATAATAAACTTATACAGGGTGATTCAAAAAATCGCTGACAGACTTCTAGGGTAGATAATACATAAAAAATTAAGACGAAAAGTTTTAATAAACATAGGGTCACAAATGCCTCCTTAACGAGATACAGGGCGTCAAAGTTTCTGTAAAATTAAACATTGTCTGCAATAATTCCAAAATGCCTGAACATTTCTATTTCAAATTTGCTATGCGTAGTTAGCACCTTAAGACCAATGTTTGATGTACTGCTCAAAATTTTATGAGCAGCANCAGCAGAATATTGAAATGCAGAGTCATTTAATAGTAAACAAAGAATCTGTAATAATCTCCCATTCTGAGCCATTATATGGGTTACGGAAACCCATTCCACAAATCCAGTTAACGTCAGCAAGACTACTTGAACTACTCGCCCGTGGCCGTTTGCTTTAGAAGCATCTGTTTCGCTAAATAATTTAAACTGGCCAACATGTAGTTCTATTAGTCTCAAGAAAAAATCAAATATCACGGCCATATTCGCTGTTAATGCATGATAAATGTCTTTTCGCCGCTGATTCGATTCCAAAGTCTAAAATTAAATATTTTATACGTAATACTTTCATGGTGGCGGTAAGTTACCTGAAGTAAAGCTACATCCTCAACAAGACGTAAAAAAACAAGAAGGACTAATTCCGTTTGTATTTCACCACAAGCGCAAGCATCGGATAATTCAGACAACAGACCAGGCCACTGTTGAGGCCACTCTCTCTTTACCATTTCTACAATCACCCGACTTAGTGCATCTTTCATATGAGATTCGTCACTTATACCACCCGCAGCCAATAATTTCATAGCATTTTCCTAAAATTACGTCATTTTATAAAATATATAATATCTAATTGACTCACTTTAAAATTTATTAACCATTATTTCAAAATTAATATTTTTTTGATAACAAGTATACACTGCTCCAAGAAGTACAACTTAACAACTTACAAATTAAATTTATAAGAAAATAAACAATAATTCCAATTAATTTAATATCGAGTGTTTTCACCCGTTTTGGATCAGATCCTCGTATCAATGGTTCTTGCATTTTTATTTAGTTCATTTCGTATTTCAAGATGTCTCTGTCTTCCCTGTTATTAGACCAATTCAAATGACACGTTAATTGTCTGGCAAGCATTATATTCCAGAATGAAAACTTTTATATTCATTCTAGAAGCGATACGTACATTTCTCGGAGCAGCGTATTACTATTTTTAAATGTACAATAATAAATTAAAGAATAAAATTCATGAATTTTATTCTGTAGAATGATGTAAGAAAAATTATTGTTATATTATAGGAATTGATGACACTAATGTGCATGAGTTTCAGTTTCATTAGCTTAGCTCCTCAGCTCTTTAAAAGAAATGTAAAGGTGTAGATAAAAAAATAGAAAAGCAACCATATGAAACCTGAAGCAGTTAAAAACTAATGAAGTTATTTATCGTTGTAAATTTTTTTAATTTACTGAGAACATTCAAAAAAAGAGGCATGTTAAATATTAGAGCAAAGGATTTTTGTTTCTAAATGAAGCAGATAGGTACAAAATACTCAGAATGATAAATATCGACATTTAATTCTTACAATGAAAATGTATCCAATACCTTTATAAAAATTTTCTCTTGTTGGGAAATTTGTGTCCATCTATATTTCACGGTATGCTCCATGAGCTGGAGTCCAAAATGCCTAGATATCAAGGAATGCTGTGTTCCTGCAGCCAAATAAAGACCAGCTTCTGCACAAAGAGGAGACGTTTCTTTAAAACTTTCGCAAGCTTGGTATGCCCTTAATCGGTCCGACTGTGAGGCACTAGCACTCATGGTTAATTCAACAGCTCGTGCTAGATCCGCTGCTAAAGCAGCTACGTCTGGTCCTGCCATCCTTTTACAAGTTAAATAGCTGAAAATTAATAGTTTAGCACATGTTGAAAAAGCAGCATGGTCTTACATGTTTTTAAATTATCTGTTTTTACTAAACAATAAAAATTTCTTCCACTTTTCTAAAACAAATTGTATCTTGCGTTTAATTGACTTACTTTAAATTTTCTATTTATTTACAACATATGATTAAATATTTATTAAAATGTGCAACAAATCCAACTTGACGGTTGCCGGCTACAACAACGATTCCTAGCGGTAGATGTATAAATTAAACAGATAAACATAGAAATTCTTAGTCCATGGTTCTAAGGGTCTATACACATGCGGAAAACAAAATCCAAGTAAACATTTCTTTATAACATGACAAATTATAGAAACCTAATCCATGCCACTCAGACCGTAGGGTGCAAAAATTCCCAGTGATTTTTTTTCCAGTTTCTGGTGGCTAGTTCTCTCAGACACTATTATTCTAGTTCTTTCATTTCATATCCACATTTTGTACAGCTGTAGGTCACTGCATGCATGTAGGCAATGTACTGTATTATACACATATTTTATGCTACGTACGATCTGACAACATTTATTTTGCTATGACAACAGAGTCTATGGCGATAAGCTAGGTATACGTATATAACTATCATTTTCGAAAAATTCATAAAAAATCGTGTATTTCGCATTTTTTTATAACTATTAAAATAAGAAAGTTAGAGGGGGTCAATATATAGTAAATCAACCTGTACACTGAAAATTCTTTCTCTTTTGTATGTACTGGAGTGAATGAAACAGAGAGAAAGAGAAACAAAAGACAACACCCCTAGCCCTAGCCGGTCTTCCTCCATTGACACTGACACAACAAAAAAAAATGTTAGGGGATTTATATAAAAATATATATGTCTATTAAATTCTATATCTACCGAAACACTTGGCAAAAAAAATTGAACCGAAGGCCTCCCTTTACGCCTTTAATTATTATCATAATTGCATCCATAAAGCCGTCATTGTAACCACAGAATTAATGATTTATGATTTATACATATACATATATGTATATATGGTTGTAAGCTGACAGTATTATAAATTATGTTTTGCTTGTAATATATTTACCTACTTCTCTATGGCCCATATTATAATAAAAAATATTAAACATAAACCAAGTAAAATAGTATTTTATAAAGGACAGCCAAGCATAAATTTGATTGATATCTCAATCAGGAAGAAGTTACCTATACTTGTTACCTGCCCTGTAATCTGTAATTTAAAAGGCTACGATAAAAATACTTCTACCTTTGAAGAAGAGATGGCGCCACGCCTTTCAAACAGTCCTGTATATGTAATTGTTTTTAAGTATAATTTTTATCTGCAAATAAATGATAATTATATATAGGTATTAGTAGTTAATTTATGAATATAAATGAGGAATATAGTGAATATTCCTGTCACTATCTAAAGTTGTACCCATCTACAGGTAACCTTACTATCTATACATCTACATACATACATGGTAAAGACTTTTTACTAAGATATGTAGGTGTCACGTGAAAATCACAAAAAAAATGTAGAGAAATGATTAACACAATTTGAAAATGTTAGGGGTTGAAGATTCCATTAGCAAACTTTTTATAACAGAGACATCAGACAATAAGTTACCTGATTATTATTAACCTTATTATTATTTATTAACCAGAAACCAGATTTTTCACAATAATAGGCATTTATATAATGCCATACCAATGTCAGGTTTCTATATACTTAAGTACTAAATTAATATACCTATAAAGGTAAGTACTCACAAACGCGTTTTGCGTTTACGTTTTGCGGCAAAAAGAATCGAGACATATTTTTAATACTCACCATCGCGTTTATCCGAGATTTTTAGTTAGTGATCTTTTTAGTGATTTTCAATTTCAACAGATAAAAACGAAATTGTATTGGTTAAACTGATGTTTGACAGTTTCAAACTGAACGTCATGCGTCATGGGTAGATTTTTTGAGTAGAGGGTTATGTCATGTCGCAGCATATAAATTATTTGCTGTTTTTATGATTTATAGTTTTCTTACATATTATATCTTTTCTGTTTATAGTTGTTATCAAACAAAAATATGCAGCAGCAGGAGAGTGAGGTATGAATAATGAATAACAAATCTAGCACTCCAACTTGAGCATTTTTTAAATTTTAGCAGACCGTAGTGTATTGTGAAACCGTTGATGATGTGGAGGTATAAATAATTAATAACAAATGTGGCACCATAATTTGAGCATTTTTTAAATTTTAGCAGACCTTAGTGTATTGTGAAACCGTTGAAGAACTTCTGATTAGTCTGGTACAATTAAGACCAGCTTTGTGGGATCATCGAATTCCATTAAAGAGTCGTTCAAAAAATATTAAAGATGATTTGTGGGTTGAGGTATACACTGCTATGGGGCAAATAATTCCCCTTGAAGAAATAAAAAAGAAATGGAGAAATCTGCGAGACAAATACATAAAGGTAGTACCTCATATTAGGTTATATAGAATGCACTCTATACGATAATTTTCAAAATGATACAATTTTGTAAATAATAATAATTCTCATTTGTTTGTCAGGTGAAAGGGGAAATATGTGTCTACAAGCCAAGTGGAATGGGTGCTAAAGGTAAACAAAAGGTCTGGAAACATTTTTCTGCCTTACAATTCTTGGACGATTCTATTAATCCACGAAGAACTATCGGTAGTATCAAAATGCCACAGGATATAACACCTAATTCAGAATCTGATAGTAGGCCAAGTAGTTCAGCAAGCCTAGCAAATGAGACTCCAACTGTTGGTAGAACAAAAAGAAAAATTACTGGGGAGTTAATAAACAACAAAATTCTTGAAGTCTTAAATGTCCCTCCACCATCAGTGAATATAAATCCATCGTCAGTATATGAAGGAAATGCAGCATGTGTGGCCATAGCTGAAATATTAAATAAACTTCCAGAGAGAAACAAGGCAAAATTAGAAATTGAATTATTACGATTAGTTTATGATACATATGATCAGTATATAAGTGATTCTGGATGTAGCAATTGAAGAATAAAAAAGATCTTGAAAAAATTGTTTAATTTACTTTTTGAATCTTTCCGGTAGTAATCTAACTATTAATAAGTCATAATTGATAACATTTGATTAAGCTCACTTCTTATTCTAAAAAGTACTTGTTTTTTATGGATATACCTGCACTACTGAAAATGAAAAAAAAAAGACAATGAAGAGTAAGTATATTTGTGTTCATAAGTATTTAAACATTCAATAATTCAATGGATATGCCACTGAAAATCTACAGCACCATCAAACATAAAATATGCTGCCAAACTGTCTCTAATTGAACTTGCTGTTGTTGTGTAGGTATTTGTGCCCAAGCGATGAACATCTTCTAAATTATTATACTGGCCTTCAGCCCTCCATTGTCCTTCAATAAAATTGCCATCAGCATCTTCATGATCTACATAAGAAAAATCACAATAACGTCTTCTATCCTCAGAAATATTACTTTCTTTTCTCATTAAGAAATTATGCAAACAGATAGTGCTCATAACAACAGCTTCTACTGTTTCTAAACTTGCAATTAATGGTTTTCTAAAAATTCTCCAACGTGCTGCTAGCACACCGAAGGCGTTTTCTACAACCCTACGGCTTCGACTTAATCTGGAATTTATAAACAAATATAGCGTGTAAATAACGTTATTTATAAACTTACCTATAATTGAAAATCCTCTTTTCTTGGGATAGTAGTCTACCAGGATATGGCCTCATCATGTAATGTGTAAGAGGAAAAGCTTCATCTCCTACTAAATAATAGGGAATCAGCTCTCCATTGTCATCATTGGAAATATTACTTGGTGGTGGGATATTCAAGGTACCATTTTCTAATTGTTGTCCAATTTGGCTATGTCGGAAAACACCCCCATCACTTTGCCTTCCTTTTGCCCCAATATCAACGATGGTAAAACAGTATGATGCGTCACAAACAGCCATTAGTACTATACTATGCGATCCTTTGTAATTATAGAAATCGGAACCACTATGTGGAGGTGCCTAAAAAAAATAATCTTCGTATACTTATACAATCTACATACAAATAAATTCTCAATACTTACTTGAATAACAACATGCTTGCCATCGATAGCGCCAATGCAGTGAGGTAAATTCCATTGGTTTTCAAATTCTTGGGAAATTCTCAACCATTCTTCTTCAGAAGGTTTTAAAAATACATCATTCTTCAAAACATTCCAGATTGCGATACATGTTTCTTTTATTATACTAGAAATTGTCGTTTTCCCTAGGCGAAAAGCATAACTAATAGAGGTCATACTATCCCCAGAAGCTAGAAATCTAACAAAAAAGAAATGTTGCGTATATATTTCTTAATTATAAATAATAATAACTTACCGTAGAGTCACAGACAGTCTTTCTGCAGGTGAAATAGGTTCTCTTGATATATACATTTTTTCAATTTCGGGCTTGACTTTACTTACAAGAATATCAAATTGTTCACTGGACATTCTAAAGTAATTGAAAAACTTATCTTTGTCACTTAATCGCATTTCTTGTATTAAATTATGAAAATCTCCTTGTTGTTTTCTTTTTAAATATATGTTTCTAACCCAAAACCGTTTACATTGGGCTTTACTAGTAAATCCATGTTTTAAATATAATAATGCTAATAAAGTTCGTCTTCGCCACATATAATGATTATAATTAACTATATAATTATTCATATTCATACTTAATACTTATTACAATTAACCTCAAACTCATTATTTCATATTTTCATTGGAAAGAGAGTAAAACGTATTTTATTGACAAAGAGGGAAAATTTTCGCCGCAAAATCTTAAAACATTCTTAACATTTCCCGCCAGAAAAATGCGGCGAAAATAAAGTTAAACAATTCCCGCCTTCCAAAATTCCAAATAAAATTAACCAATCAGATGATCGCCGCAAAAAAATAAAACGCAAAACGCATTTGTGAGTACTTACCTTAAAACGGATTCTCCTTTATTGTGCAACAACGAATTTTATTGNAAAAATATATTTGATATTTTGTAAATACAATACCTGTAACTAACATCTGTATCCCCTGTATCCTCTATGACCATAGATAAAATTCTATGATGATTATTTGTCACACAACAACAACCACAACTAGTTCCACCCCAGCCATTAGATTGAGCCTTGAGCAATTATTTCCATATATGTAGGTGCATAATATCTATAGATATATAAAAGACTATAGATAATAATAAGTATAAGTATATGATTATTTCTAAATTAGGAGTGGTTCGATTGGAGTGGAGAGTAATATTTGTCTGTAATCTGGGGTAATGTGATCCACTAACCACTAACCAGTAACCACTAGTAAGGTAATTGGAAAGCAAATGGAAAGCAACTAAGGATGATATATTTTTTTTTGTTTTATGTTGGTAAACAACCAAACCACAAAATATATTATGTATTATTTGAATTTAGAAATATTTTCTACAAGTATACACAAGTGTAATATTGGTTGCATTATAGTATGTAACTATAATACACACAAAATCAATAAAATCATTGATCAGGTTTGAAAATTGATTGATTTGTTAAAATGTATTTGAAAAATAAATGTTAATAAATATGAGCTACACCAAAATTAGTTGGAAACTGTTATTTGTTATGCCAAAAATCGTAAAACTGATCATTTTTAAGTTGTTACTCAATATCATTAATAAATTTGAATATAATTTAATTTTCTACAACCTGTACTCGTACCTATCTCTAAACCGTTAATTGATCCAATCGTCACATTTTAGCCTCTAGTATTTCCAGATTTGAGTTTTGTCATTCTCAATAAACTACTCTGTAAAATAATACAATTTTCTAAAACTACACAAACACTTTACGTCGGGTTTTGCTGCCAGCAAAATATTTTACGATCAAGATCAAATTCACAACTCTATCCCTCACATTCCTTGACCCTGAAAAGTTTTTAGTTTGTTTTTGTATTATACACCTATTAAAAAAGTAAAAGTATTCAACTATTACTATTAGTATAATGTAGAGTTAGGAGGAGGTTCCAAACCCCCCTAGAGGTCTCCAACATTTTTTTTTCAATTTGTTCTAGTTATGATTGCCTAAAATAGTTTTTTTTATTCATTATATATTTTTGATAAATATGGCGGGGTTTGGAGTGGACGCGAATCAAAATTCCTCTCGACCAACTTTAATATAAAGGAAGTCAAAAAACGAATTTGAAAAAGTATGGAAAATGCTACAGATATTACAACATATTATTCCATATTAGTTCAACAAATTGATTTTCTTGAAAACGATGCCTGTGTTACCTACAGAAAAAAATTGTTCTAAAACTTAATTAGGTATGTTTTCTCATAATTAACCGTAATATTTCAGAAATGTCTCAGATTTGATGAAAATGCTAGAGATTTAGTACCTACTTTGAATCCATATTTTTTAAATTTAAAACACTTATTTACTTTAGAATGTGGTGCTGCCTCAATTGAAAAAGAAACAAAATTCGTACTTTTATAAGATTTTTGTTCAGTCTTTCACGAAATGAATAAATTGTGTAATATATCAAAAATAGTAGGTACCTACAATCTACTGCAAGGTGTGAGAGATCTTTTAGCAGTTTAAAAATAATTAAAAATTATTTAAATAGGTCAAGATAGGTATTAATGTAGGTATGTTAAAAAAAATATTGTAAAATATGTAGATCTAGAATTAATTATAGATTTTTTTGCTCCTAATAGAAGTTCCACTGTCTTTAACGTTGTTTTTGGTAATTTAAATTAGTATGTTACATTTTATTGACCCGAAAAAGTAAAAGATACTTTGTAACTTCCGTTGTAATAATTATTCTGATGTTCATACTTTAAAATTTCTGCTAGTTTTCACTTTACTAAAAAATAATGCTAGCTTCGTCAATAAACCGTATATCACATAGTAGAACCGTAAATATGGTAGATATATTTTCGTTCAAAAACAGTGATCTAATATCTAATACATAGAAAAAGGAAGACCTCTTCCCTACATTTAGTGTAAGTACATTTGTCACACAAGTGTGTCATTTATTAACTTATCAGCTCTATAAGATAAAAATTAATAAGACGGCGGATAGGAAACGAAATTATTGACAGCGATCCAAAACGTAAGTTGTATTATAAGCGTTTTAATAAAAGTATGATTTAATGATTTAATGTAATGCTCCTATGCTACTATCATCTAATGAATGTAAAATAAATTGGGTACATTTTTGTTTTAAAACTAGCCACGTAAACAGTGTATATGGTATTAGAAAGATTAATAAATAATTATTATTGCAAGCAGCACAACCACAAACAACCATTAGTAGTAACATAACTACATTATAATTATTTAGCAATAATAATTAAATACCTATCTGATAGTTGCAACAATGTGGGACCTCATCTAAATAATTATATATACTGCATTGCTAAATTTGTACAGGGTGATTCACTATATTTTGACCCCCCCTTTAACTTTTTTGTTTTGAGAGTTATAAAAAAATGTGAAATATTTTATGAATTTTTCGAAAATGATAGTAGAAAAACAAATGAAGTCCAAACAAAATGGCCGCGGATGTTAAGTTAAATGGAACACCCTGTATATTTTTACATATTTGGATAGAACGTTCCCTGTCGAGCATAGTCATGTAGGGTTTGTTAGGTCCATCGCTAACAATAAGCGAGATACTATTAAAAAACTAAAAGAAGGTTTTTTTATTAAGCAAATAAGACAACTAAATCTGTAAATCCTTACATAATTGGAAAAAAGGTAGAAATACCTGAAAGAAGAAACCTGAAGAAAGTCTAACAACCTATTATAAATTATTAAAAAAAACTTCTTTTCGTTTTTTTTAAAGTATCTTGCTTGTTGTTATATATGGACCCAACAAACCCCATATGGCTATGCTCGACAGGGGACGTTCTATCCAAATATGTAAAAANAAAAAAGTAAAAGTATTCAACTATTACTATTAGTATAATGTAGAGTTAGGAGGAGGTTCCAAACCCCCCTAGAGGTCTCCAACATTTTTTTTTCAATTTGTTCTAGTTATGATTGCCTAAAATAGTTTTTTTTATTCATTATATATTTTTGATAAATATGGCGGGGTTTGGAGTGGACGCGAATCAAAATTCCTCTCGACCAACTTTAATATAAAGGAAGTCAAAAAACGAATTTGAAAAAGTATGGAAAATGCTACAGATATTACAACATATTATTCCATATTAGTTCAACAAATTGATTTTCTTGAAAACGATGCCTGTGTTACCTACAGAAAAAAATTGTTCTAAAACTTAATTAGGTATGTTTTCTCATAATTAACCGTAATATTTCAGAAATGTCTCAGATTTGATGAAAATGCTAGAGATTTAGTACCTACTTTGAATCCATATTTTTTAAATTTAAAACACTTATTTACTTTAGAATGTGGTGCTGCCTCAATTGAAAAAGAAACAAAATTCGTACTTTTATAAGATTTTTGTTCAGTCTTTCACGAAATGAATAAATTGTGTAATATATCAAAAATAGTAGGTACCTACAATCTACTGCAAGGTGTGAGAGATCTTTTAGCAGTTTAAAAATAATTAAAAATTATTTAAATAGGTCAAGATAGGTATTAATGTAGGTATGTTAAAAAAAATATTGTAAAATATGTAGATCTAGAATTAATTATAGATTTTTTTGCTCCTAATAGAAGTTCCACTGTCTTTAACGTTGTTTTTGGTAATTTAAATTAGTATGTTACATTTTATTGACCCGAAAAAGTAAAAGATACTTTGTAACTTCCGTTGTAATAATTATTCTGATGTTCATACTTTAAAATTTCTGCTAGTTTTCACTTTACTAAAAAATAATGCTAGCTTCGTCAATAAACCGTATATCACATAGTAGAACCGTAAATATGGTAGATATATTTTCGTTCAAAAACAGTGATCTAATATCTAATACATAGAAAAAGGAAGACCTCTTCCCTACATTTAGTGTAAGTACATTTGTCACACAAGTGTGTCATTTATTAACTTATCAGCTCTATAAGATAAAAATTAATAAGACGGCGGATAGGAAACGAAATTATTGACAGCGATCCAAAACGTAAGTTGTATTATAAGCGTTTTAATAAAAGTATGATTTAATGATTTAATGTAATGCTCCTATGCTACTATCATCTAATGAATGTAAAATAAATTGGGTACATTTTTGTTTTAAAACTAGCCACGTAAACAGTGTATATGGTATTAGAAAGATTAATAAATAATTATTATTGCAAGCAGCACAACCACAAACAACCATTAGTAGTAACATAACTACATTATAATTATTTAGCAATAATAATTAAATACCTATCTGATAGTTGCAACAATGTGGGACCTCATCTAAATAATTATATATACTGCATTGTTAAATTTGTACAGGGTGATTCACTATATTTTGACCCCCCCTTTAACTTTTTTGTTTTGAGAGTTATAAAAAAATGTGAAATATTTTATGAATTTTTCGAAAATGATAGTAGAAAAACAAATGAAGTCCAAACAAAATGGCCGCGGATGTTAAGTTAAATGGAACACCCTGTATATTTTTACATATTTGGATAGAACGTTCCCTGTCGAGCATAGTCATGTAGGGTTTGTTAGGTCCATCGCTAACAATAAGCGAGATACTATTAAAAAACTAAAAGAAGGTTTTTTTATTAAGCAAATAAGACAACTAAATCTGTAAATCCTTACATAATTGGAAAAAAGGTAGAAATACCTGAAAGAAGAAACCTGAAGAAAGTCTAACAACCTATTATAAATTATTAAAAAAAACTTCTTTTCGTTTTTTTTAAAGTATCTTGCTTGTTGTTATATATGGACCCAACAAACCCCATATGGCTATGCTCGACAGGGGACGTTCTATCCAAATATGTAAA